GTCCTGCAAATGTCTTTTTTTGTCACCATTTTGTCAATTGACCTTCGAAGGTTGGAATACGAGGTAGTTATTGCAATGCATCAAGTCATCTGTGGCCCTTTCACATAGAGATTACCTGTGCCCTCATGCTTTCAACAATTTTTAGATATCTAACTTGTACAATCGTACACCACCGATCACCGCCGATTCTGAATTGAATAGTGGAACCGGTGACATTGTTAAGTCGAATTCCAAATCCAGGAATAATAGTAGAATTTTAAGTTTTTTAATGGTGTGTGTTAGAGTGATCCGATAACAACGAACTGGGTTTCTGCTTCGCTGGAAATTTTACTGATTGATTCACTTGTTTACATTACCAATTAAAGGTTATCATCCTAATCGTTCTCTTCGTTAATCAACAAAATTTTAACCTATCAAAAATCCAATCGCTGTTTTCTGGTTATGATTTGGACCAGTCTGTTGTAGATCCCGCATTTTGGGAAACTTCCCCAGCAGCAACAGAGAATGAATTTTGGCACATTGTGAATCCACTGAAGGAAGATCAATATGCAGAAATTCGACCCACAAGATACCTGACTTTGTTTGATGACAATAATATTAAAGATTCAGATATTTCAACAAAAAACCCACATCATCCGGACGAATGGAAATCAAGCGTGAAAACGTCGTTGAGAAGTCTTATTTGGTTCTTCAAATTTGTGATACTCCCTGTTGCTGTGATTGTATATACCATATACTCCCTGGTCGATTATTTGCTACCCTTAGATCCGAAGGATAAAGACATTAAATCATCGATTGGCTCTAATAGTTCCATGGGAAACACTATTGTTCTTTCATCATCTGGATATCTTGGCAAGAACATTATTTCTCCGAAAGTTACCACCTTACGTGGTCGCCATTTGGCCGACGTTGATCTACTATGCGCGAATGCTAATGGGATGATCATATCCACCGCTATGGATAAACATATAACATCATGGAACGGGAGGCAAGGAATATCATTGAAAAAGCTTGAAAGGTATATGCGTCGTTGTGAATCATGTAAATGTGGCGTTACGGGAGGAATGAAAAAATGCATTTCTTGGCCAGTTAGGGCAATGTGTATGAGTGAAAAAGTTGAGTGGGCAGCAGCTGGATTTGAGGACGGGGTTGTGAGAGTCTGGAATATTCATTCGGGTCAGGCCACGTATATTTTAAAGGATACTGTTGAGGACGTAGAATCGGTAGTATCGGTGATGACAGGAAACCTGACAAAAGAGCGCGTCACCTGTTTGCAAATTATCGTACCGAATTCATCTTCAATGAATAATACGCCAAGTCAAGAACATGGATACCCACATTTCGCGACGGATTCAAATCATAAAACACCTGCAATGCTCTTATCAACCTACAAAAGTGGATATTTTCGTGAGTGGGATCTTATTTCGGGTCAAATCGTTCACACTGTTCCCACCAACCAGAAAGGAGGTATAAGTTATCTTTGCGTCGTTGATGATGGTAAACAGGACTACGATCAAGATGAATTACGAATTTATACCGGTGCTCGAGACGGTTCTGTCAAGTGTTGGATTCGTACGATTTATTATTCGGAAAATGAACCAATAAACTCTCATATCGATCCGAAAGAACTACGCAGGAGTCGATGGAAATCACCCTATACGATTCCCGGGGAACCTGGTAACCCAATCACTAGTGTTGCTGCTAAAACAATAAAAACTCAAAACGGTTATCTTGGTATTGTGGTTACCGGCGCCTCCGATGGAGAAGTGAGAGTTTATGAATATTTGACAGGAACACATATTGAAACGCTAAGTCAGGGAACCATTGGAAAAAAACGTCGTGCCGAAGAGAGAGAAAAACTATTGATACAAAGGCGGATACAGCTTCAAACTCAAAATGAAAATAATTCTTCTGAATTAGATCAAGATTTGTATGACGATCTTGACGATGAAACAGATTATGACAATGATTATGATACGACTCATCATCAAGACCATATTACCAACATAATAATTCATCCTCTAAAGAAACAGAGTTGTCCCTGTGGAATTACCAAGGAAGCTGGAGGGTTCGCAATAATAACCTCATCCGGGGATGAAAGGGTACATGTATGGCAACTAATACGAAGCGTAATGGATTGTACATGTATGGCGTTTAAATTAAAGCAACCGTACATACAAAATCCTTTTGTAAATATCTCAGAGTGGTATCAACGTATTGAACAATTTGACAGGGTAGCATCTTATCAAACCAAATTCATTGGACGCGTCAGTCAACCTGGTGGTTCGGCTATCGTGTTCCTTCGAGAAAACATAATTGGTGCTCGTCGTGTCAAAAATTCGCGCGAATCAGTACAAACTCAGAAACGGTGTCATGGCGCAGAAGGCGAATGGGAATTATGGATATTGGATATTAATGATGCCCAGACGATCGAGAAAGATAGAGAGCATGATGATTTGGATGAATATGAAGAAGATGTTGAGTTGACTGTTCAAGTTGTTCCATTGGTTACTGAGAAAGATTTAGTTACCGAGGAAAAACAAAAAATGAAAAAAGAAGAGATAAAACGACGTGATAAAGAAAGTGTAGGAGAATTAAAAGGATTTGTTCGTCGACGGAGAAACCTGACATTCAAGGGCAAATTTCCAAATACATCTCACCATCATGATCACCACGATCACCATGATCATGATCATGATCATGATCATTCACATGACCATGAAGAAGAAGACACACAAGGTCAAGTTGTGGATTTTCGGCAGCGTAGTCCAAGGCACCGTGTATATCCTGACGGGAAGAATGATCGACAGTTGGCATTACTCGAGGAGGAAGACGAGATGAATGAGCTATTGCCATTTGCTTACATAAGACAGGTGGTTGGAGTTGGGGATGATGGGGTAGCTGTCGCTTATGGTAATTTTATAAAATATGTTCAGTTTGATGATTAACGAAAAGAAATTAGTATTACCTAATTAATTTGCTTGGTAAAGATTATTCCTATTTTTTCATGCAACTAATTTTTATTCTATCAAAAATTTATATATAAATTTATCATTTATTCAAAGTACCGCGCTTTTTTTATGTTGATAATAGAAATCTTTTCTTTACAATTAGTCACTACTATTCTTTGGTGATTATTCTTGATGCATTCCACGGAGAAAAACGTTCGCGGAGTCTAGAAATTTGTAAAAAGCAAGTCAAAGAATAAAGTTTTATAAATAGAGAGTACACTAGTTTAATTTATTACAAACAAGTGTACTTTTATATGTATTTATAATTATTATGTAAACTATATATATTTTTTAATTAAAAGCAAATAAACTGGTAATTTCCATTAATGTATAAATGTTATAATGATTAAACGTGTAATTTAAATATACAAACAAGTAATCCAAATCAAGAATATTTAACGCATATCATTCATTATTGAGTGTAAATCAATTCAAAAATTTAAAATGGTTAATTGAACACAAACATGTGCTATTTTTTTTTATTGTCAAAATTATACGTATATAGTTTATTTTTTTTTTTTTTTTTTTTTTTTTTTTTTTTTTTGAAAAGAGCAAATGGCTATCACGCTTTATTATATTTATTATACTTTCACT